TACTACTATTTGTCTTTTAGTATCTTTTCTTTACTGTTGGAAGGTAATGCAGTATGGTGTATAGATTTGAATAAAGTTCTATAATATTGAAGTAAGACAGTCGATAATGCCAAGGAAGAAATGACAGCTATCATGTACTTAAGGCCCCACTGGTTGTTTTGGTATCCTCCATGCATTAAGGGATGTAATTTAAGGATGATTTAGGATGTGAAGAGATTAATTAAGGACCACAAGTATTGCAAAACAATTGATTAAAGGATGGTTATTGTTCTAAAGGGAATCATTAAAGGGTTAAAAGGCTGTAGAGCGTTTGGACATCAGTGTTTAGGGCTCTTAGGGTCGCCCTGGGTCAGACTAAGGATTCTGGAACTCTTGTTTAGTTTGGGTTTGAGGAAGGTATGTACATTGATGTTTTCCAAAGATTGTGCCACATGCAGAGGGTATATATTTTCTGATTTATGCTCTAGAATTAATTTTCTCGATAAGTGTTTTTGTAATTAGACATTTTTTCTCTTTTTTTTTCAGAGCCAGTATGAACAAGGTCCGGATATTAATGCCATCCTGCAGTAAGTGTCATCTTCCAGTTGTGTGTGTGGGTGTGTGCATTTGCTGGAATGTATACTAAATGGACTTTGGCACATTTTTACTGAATCTTGTTTTTCTATTCCCTTTTCCAAATTTTCCTTCTCTTTTTCATGATTATCTCCCAAAGCCATTCCCCTTCCCCTGAGCTTTTCATGATTGCGGTTGAACTCTTTTATAAGAAAGAAAAAGACACAATAAAAGCAAAATAGACAGATAGATAGATAGATATAAGTGAGGTAAATGAATGAATTAATATGTGAGAAATTGTTTATTCTTACTCAGAACTTTTAATTTTGCCGAATCCACATTGAGACGACTCAACATCTGGTACCATAATCTTCTTTCCAGGTCTGAGGGCATTGAGACCCTGCAGCTGTCAGACAGCACCGTCAACCCGGGCATGGAGAAGGCCCGGCCCTCCGACTTCCAGCTCCTGAAGGTCTTGGGCAAGGGCGGCTATGGCAAGGTCTTCCAGGTAGGAGATCAGCCGAGAGTTGGTTTTAATAGTTTGCAAGTTTTAGGCGGTTGGTGTTTTATTTATTTTTTAGTTATCTTGTTTTATTGCATTCTGTGTATTTTATTTGTTTATCTTATTTTTATTTATTATTATTGTTATTATTAGTATTGTTGTTGTTATTATTATTATTATTATTATTATTATTATTATTATTATTATTATTATAATTATTATTATTATTTTTTGTTATTATTAATATTATTGTTAATAAGAATATTTCTGTTATTATTATTATTATTATTATTATTATTATTATTATTATATTTATTATTAATAATATTAATGTTATTCAAGTTTTTATTATCATTGATGCTATCATCATTATTATTATTATCATTAATAAATTTGTCATCCTTATAAGTTATCATATGTTAATAATTATATCTCCCCCAAAGGTTAGAAGAGTGAGTGGCGGCAAAGGAGCTGGCAAGATCTTCGCCATGAAGGTGCTAAAGAAGGCAACCATTGTTCGCAACCAGAAGGACACGGCACACACCAAGGCCGAGAGGAATATTTTGGAAGCCGTTAAGGTGATTTTTTTTTCTTTTTTTCTTTTAGAATTTAAACACTGTTGTTGCTATTATTAGGGTTGTTGTAATTGTTGGTGATGCTGTTTTTTATTATTATTATTATTATTGTTTTGTAAAATGATGGTTATCAGCATTGTAGTAGGTTTTAGTTATGATATTTATATTTTATGTGCTTGAAAGAATTTTTTTTTTTTTTTCCCCCCACCCCATTGTCTTATTCGTAGTTTTTTGGTAATAAATATTTTTTCTGCTTTTCAAATAAAACTTGGATATAGATGTCTCTTTACTTTTAAGTGGATGCACCATAAGATGAAAGTATCATGGATCAAAATTGCATATGTTTCATGTAGCCAAACCTGCTTTGTCCTCTTTGCTTGTAAATTGATTGTGACTCAAATTTATTAGGGCAGATTAACCAAGATTTTAGGGACAGATAACATAGATTCCCAAAGTAGAGAAGTACGGGGCTTTCTAATTGTATGATTATATGATAATTATGATAATGATAATACTAATTATAGTTATTATTATTATTATTATTATTATTATTATTGTTATGATTAATAGTTTTGTTAAAGCCACCATTTGGAGGAGGTCTGTTATCTATTATTGTTGGGATAATTAGCTGAGCTGCAGGATTTTTTGAAAAGTTTCCAGCATGTTATGAATAAAATTTGTAGGTGAGTTGCCCATGGCCCACAAACCAGTTGACGGATTAGATTTTGATGGTAAACCAGATTTAATGTACCGTTTTAGTTCAAATTATTATTATTTTTACCATTATTATTTTTGTTATTATTGTATCTTTTTTTTACTGTTGTTATTGCTGATGTTGTCATTGTGATACATTGTTATTATCATGACTATTACTTTTATCATTATTATTATTATGATGGTGATGATGATGATGATACTACCACTACTGTTACTCATGCAACTGTCTATTATTTGTAGTATTATCATCATATTGATCTGATGATATTAATGATAAGAATGCAAAGATGTGAAGAGAAAAGCACGATACAAGATTTGTAAAAATCATGAAAGGGATAAGATGAGGCGAAGAGAAGCAGCTCATAAGCAGGTCAAGATGTCTTGTCATGCTCTTCATTTGCACATAAGAAGGGATCTCTTTACTTCTTTAGTTGTTTGGCAATATATATCTATTGCATTCACACCCATATACATTGCATGTGAAAAGCATACATACACATTGAGTGAGAGAAAGAGAGCGTGAAGTGAGAGAGAGTGAGAGAGAGACAGAGACAGAGAGACAGAGAGAGATGCTTTCTTTCATTTTACTTTTTCCTCCTAACGCCCCCTCCCATGTTCATGCCTGTGCATGTATCCACACACATGCACATGGCAGGTAGATAGATATAATATTTATCATTGATAGTTTTTATTTATTGCTTATATTTTTCATCAAAATTTTATCACTCTTTAAGTTTAATCTGTAAATCTATAGATATTGTCATTACTTTCTGGATTTCTCTCCCTTTTTCATTGTACTTGGCAGCTTTATTTGTATGTGATTTTTTAAAAAATCATCGTCTTATCAGTCTTTGCAGTTATAGAATATGTGAACTTGTCTTGTTAAAAAAAAAAAATCATTGTCTTATCATTCTTTGCAATAATACAATATGTGAACTTGTCTTCATAAAAAAATAATCATCGTCTCATCATTCTTTGCAATAATAGAATTATTGAACTTGTCCTGATAAAAAAAAAATCATCGTCTTATCATTCTTTGCAATAATAGAACATGTGAACTTGTCTTGACAATTTGGTTATGTGGGTAAGAGATGCAGTGCACTGTTACATCCTTCCCTTCAACTTCAAGTGAACCCATTGCCACGTACTTATAGAATGGATCAAAGAAATTGGGCTCTTGGCTTTCTTCGCTTGCTGCCATCCAGCTAGCTCCTTTGGCACCTTACTCCAAGGCCCTGCGATGAGTCTCGGTTTAAAGTACATCAGGTGTGTGCTGGGTGCAGGGTCCATTGCCTCCTAATGCCATGGCACTGTTTCAAGCACTTGGTAGCATGTGTGTTAGTCTGTTCCATTGCTAACTGGTATTCTGGTTCTGACTTTTTTTTCTTCTTCTTATGTTTCTTTTTTTTTTTTACTGGTTTGAAGAGGATTTGCTATGTAGAGATACAGTTTCATTATTCCTACAGTAGTAGGATTACGTCCTAGATTAGAATTTATTTATTTATATATTTGTTTTTTTCAATGATAACTGTAATATTAGTAAAGGAGTGTCATATAGTTTTAGTCAAATACAGCTTGTTCTTAGTTGTGTTTTGCAAAAATAATGTTTAGGTTCCGAATAACAAAATGTGCTCATGTGTTTCTGGTGTGAAGTTTATATAGAACTAGGACTGTAACTTGAGCAATATATGAATACTTATATCATTGATCCCTAGGATTTTTATCATTGATATTATTGCTTGAAATCTTGTAGATGGTAGCTGTTATTAATTTTACATCAATTTTTTGACAGTAAAGATGATCATGATTTGAGAAGTCTCTGGAAAGTATATTCAGATATTTATACCAGTCTTTAAGGTATTCCCAAGAGAATTCCTCAAGTTTTTAAGTATTTCATAAAAAGCAATATGTTAAGACAAGGAAATACAGATAGGTGTGTGATGCACTATTTGCCTGGCCATTTCTGATCCATTCTGTTGGTAAGGGAAGACTTGAAGAGGAATGGAGTACACATACCATATTCCATATCCATTTACAGTGAAGTAGAATCAGAGAAAATAATATATAACTTTAATTTTTTTATTATTATTATTATTATTTTTTTTTACTTTCACATTTGCCTCTGTCAGGAAGTTTACCCCTACTGAAGACTTCAGCAATACATAAATCATTACTGGATAATTAAAAAAATAAAAGAATAAAAAAAAACTTTTTATCATTTGTTTCTTCATTTTCTTTCCTCCCATTTCTCCCCATAGCACCCATTCATCGTAGACCTGGTTTATGCCTTCCAAACGGGAGGGAAACTCTATCTCATCCTGGAGTACTTGTCAGGAGGCGAGCTCTTTATGCACCTGGAGAGAGAAGGCATTTTCATGGAAGACACAGCATGGTGAGCAACATGACTAGGTCTTGTTTCTATAATGTTGCCAGATGGAGGTGGATGTGCACATAGCTGTGCTTCTGAAGGAAAATGACCAGGTTGTGTTACATAATTTTGAAGCCGTTGTTACTGGGGATGGCATGATATTTATGCTATGCCTACTGCATTTTAGTTTATTCATTTTCTTTACACATATTTAACCAAGTTATGATTAGGACATCATAAAATATGTACCTATGTTTTAAGAGGATTAACATAATTACTTACTACCATTCCCACAATGTGTGGGGTACACATGGCTGTGTATTTGGTTGTTATATGGGACTATTGAATATTTCTTATTTAGTCCTTTTTGTTTGCTTGTTTCTTTCTTTCTCAGTAAGTTAGGTTAAGTAATGTAGAGTCTTAATTTCATGTTTTTACTTATATGTGATTATGACATTATCAGTTTCATTTGGCAGGTAAGTAAGAGGAATGCATTCTTTCTTTCAGTTTTTACCTGTCGGAGATAATCTTGGCCCTGGAGCACTTGCACTCAGAAGGCATCATCTACAGAGACCTCAAGCCAGAGAACATTCTCCTGGACTCCTACGGCCACGTTAAGCTCACTGATTTTGGTCTCTGCAAGGAAAAGATTCAGGTTAGTTTGAACAGGGAATGGGTATACCTTTCTTGTCTTCCTCTGGGTTTCGGCTGTTATCTTTGTTATTTTGGTGGCTGTTATCTTTATTAACTTCTTCCTCTTCTTCCTATATGTTGTTGTTGTTGTTGTTGTTATCTTTGTCAAATTTTTATCACCATATTCAGGTTATCATCGTCATCTTTGTTGTCTTTGTCATTATTTTCTTCTTTTTCTTCCTCCTCCTCCTCCTTTTCCTACTTCTCTTTCTCCTCCTCCTCCTCCTCCTCCTCCTCCTCCTCCTCTTCCTCCTCCTCCTCCTCCTCCTCCTCCTCCTCCTCCTCTTCCTCCTCCTCCACCTCCTCCTCTTCCTCCTCCTCCTCCTCCTCTTCCTCCTCCTCCTCTTCCTCCTCCTCCTCCTCCTCCTCCTCCTCTTCCTCCTCCTCCTCTTCCTCCTCCTCCTCCTCCTCCTCCTCCTCCTCCTCCTCCTCCTCCTCCTCCTCCTCCTCCTCCTCTCCCTCCTCCTCTTCCTCCTCCTCCTCTTCCTCCTCCTCCTCCTCCTCCTCCTCCTCCTCCTCCTCCTCCTCCTCCTCCTCCTCCTCCTCCTCCTCTACTTTTTCTTACATGTATAGGCTATATGCAAGCATGTTCTGTTACTGATCCATTTTATGTATTTATGTGAATTAATAAAAGCATTTTGTATATTATAAGTAGTGATGGAATTCTCTGATATATGCACAAACAAGGCCTTGCATTTAGGACACCCTCTTCTTCTTGCAGGATGACTCTGTCACACACACATTTTGTGGAACAATAGAGTACATGGCACCAGAGATCCTGACTCGCACTGGACACGGAAAGGCAGTTGACTGGTGGTCACTTGGAGCCCTGATGTATGACATGTTGACAGGAGCTGTAAGTTTGTGCTGTAATGGTGTTATGGGGATACATTTTTTTTTTTTTTTTTTCTGTTAATCATTTTTTTCTTTCTTACTGTATATGCTCTTTTACAATTTGTGATGACAGGGAGAGAGAAAAATTCGATAAATACTTTCATGATTCTTACCTTTTTTCCCATGTGTTTATATATTCATATTTGATCAGTGACTGTTTTTTGTTAATTTAATCATTTTTTGCCCCCAATTTTTACTCTTTTCAGCCCCCATTCACAGCAGAGAACAGGAAGAAGACCATTGAGAAGATCCTCAAAGGCAAACTGAATCTTCCCCCGTACCTCACCCCCGACGCGAGAGACCTGATCCGCAAACTGCTCAAGGTGACTTTTAAGGGGCTGTTAATTAAGGGTTCTAGGGGTAGACATTCATTTAGGAAGTGGCCGAGACTTTGGATGGCCGTTTGGTCTAACGAGCGTATTGGAAATGGGCGAATGAGGGAACAGATTTTTGAAGGGGTATTTATAAAGTTTCAAAGATATCAATAGATATAAGTGTGAGTAAATACAGAGCAAGTAGGTGATGATACCCTTATGTGAAATAATATTTTCATATGTTGTTTTTATTATTATCATTATTTATTTAGTTGGTATTATACTAATGTTATTATTATTACACTAATCGTTTATTGCTTTTAACATCATTGGTAATATTTTCTTCCAATGCCTGACACACTATACAGTCCCTTTCTAATACCTCTCAACGCCCTGTTTTCTCCCTCTCTTCCGCGCCCACAGAGACAAGTGAGTCAGCGTCTCGGCAGCGGCCCAGATGACGGTGAGCCCATTAAGAGACACTTGTACTTCAAACACATCAACTGGGATGATGTCATAAATCGCAAACTTGACCCGCCATTCAAGCCCGTCTTAGTGAGTTCTCGAACAGGTTTTGTTATTCTTCGTATTTTCATGAACTGAACTCGGATTTATTGTGTGTATGTATATATATTTGTATATTTATATATTTATATATTTGTATACTTACATACTTATGTATTTATATATTTATGTATTTATGTATTTATGTGTGTGTGTGTGTGTATATATATATATATATATATATATATATATATATATATATATATATATATATATATATATATATATATATATATATATATATGTATATATATATGTATATATATATGTATATACGTCTATATATATGCATATATATGTATATATATATGTATATATATATGTATATGTATATATATGCAAGAAAACCTCAACTAATATGTGATATATTTTTGTAATTTTTTCCCCAAATGTAATTACACAAACTAAAGAAATTCTCCAGTATTCAATATATTTTTAAATTTAACATCACATATTTTTTCACAGAATATTTCCTGATAGAGGGATACCTTTTTATATCACTATATTTTAATCAGATATACATTCCCTCTTGTATGCAATTGAGGTTCACTGTTTTTCAACTACTCTCCTACAGAGTGGTGATGATGATGTGAGTCAGTTTGACAGCAAATTCACGAAACAGACCCCTGTGGACTCCCCAGACGACAACATGCTCAGCGAGAGTGCCAACATGGTCTTTGAGGTGGGTTTGGCCTAGCGGTACAGGGCTCCATACCGCACCTGTATTAGTTGGAGGGCCATTTGGCTTGTTTTGTAAATGTTATTTTAGCGTCCCAATTTTTATTCCTTTCGCCTGAATCCTCCTCCTCCTCCTCCTCCTCCTCCTCCTCCTCCTCCTCCTCAAGTCTATATTTGGTTGGGCACTCCTTCTTGTCCTCATTTCTGTATTACTTTTTTTTTCTTCTTCTGTTTTCTCTGCTGTTCTTTTTTGCTTTTCCATTCCTTCCTTCCTGTTTTCCCTCCTTTATTCCTTCACTGCTTATGCCTTAAAGTTCTTCCCTTCTTTCTTGTTTTAGATTTTTTTTCTTCTTTTCTTCTTTTTCTCTCTCTCCCGTCTGTTCTTCCACCTTTTCTTTGTTCTTCTTCCAAATCCCTTTACCTTTGCTTTTCTGTGCAATCTTCCATTTTTTATTTACTATATATGTAAAGTAATATCTGGTTGAGAATCAACTGGGAATGCTGAAATGTATTTCTTCTTCCAGGGCTTTACATATGTTGCTCCTTCAGTGTTAGAGGAAATGGCCAGACCTAGCGTAGTGAAAGCACGCTCCCCCAGGAAGCCTTACACCCCCAACTCAGGTGGCCCCTTCTCTCCTCGCCTTGGTGGGATGCAGAACCCCTTCACCTTCGCCAATGGCGCTGACACCTCCTCGTCCTCATCAGGCCAGGTGGAGCAGATGGACACCAGCAACCCCATGCCTTCAGGACCACACATACACCAGCACTCACAGAACCAGATACAACAACAACAACCACAGCAGCAGCGACAACAGCCACAGCAACAGTCCACTTGGAATTGGAAGCATTAACCCCAATACCACTTAGGAGATGATCGTATTTGGTAGCTTCCTTCATGCTGCTCTGTTTCTCTCTCTCCCTCATCCCTCTCCCTTGACCTTCTTCCTACCCTCTTTTCTTCCCTCCCTCAATTTATAGCATGTAGCACTGACTTGGGTGACTTATCATGGCTGTAACAGATGCCTCAATTCATAGGAGACTTATCTTCTCAAAGGAAAATTTTCTACCAGCCTGCACAGAACATCTACATAAGTTTAAGTCAAGGCCTATGCAAGTGTTTGGTGAGTGTAAATCAGTCATTGACATTCAAAGAGGTCATTTTTTTTCCATGAATGCAAAGACAGCGGAGGCATCTGCCCTTGCTGTCACATAAAGGCTTAAATACTTGTAATGCCCATTTTTCTTGTTATATTTTTAAAATATATATACGAATATTATAGAAGATGGTGTATAACTGATTATATAAGTTAATGCCATCTATATCATAACTCTTTCATCATAGTCATTTATATTTTTCAGAAATGTAAGTATTTCATATTCAATACTAGGCTTCACATATACTCTTTTGTGACTATTACATAATACATAATGTGTTCCATAAGGCTGCACTGAAGATTGGTCTTTTAATGACTTGTATAGCATACACAGTTATATTCTGTAGGTGGCTTCTTAGTAATTAGAGAAATCATGTGATTTCTTTACCAAGTTTTCTCTGATGACAGCCTTACATACCAAGGATATAGTTGCAGCCATACATAATGCATTTTAAATATTTTCTGTTTGTTTGCTTGTATGACCCATGTATGCATCAAACACCACTAAACACAAAACTTCTTATATGTTGCTCTATGTATTGAAGCAAGCTTGAAGATTAAAAAACTTTGATCAGAATATTGTATGGAAGATTAGAGGCATCTAGTATAGGTAAGAATAATGATGTCTGCTGCAGATGCACCGATGCCAAAAAATGATTTGTTATTCAGGGATGTACAGCAGTGAATATTTAGGGTTGCAATATCTTTTTTTTTCTCTTTCTCCTTTCCCCTCATCCCACTTGGAGTGCCATTTAACTGTTTAGATTGTTTTGTTATAGATGAAGGCTATTTTACATCTTGTCTTTTCGTCAGTCTTGTGTTGCCCACTTTAGGAGGATCTCTGAGTTGTAGATAAGGTTTTGGTGTTTATATATTTATTCTTTATATAAATCTGCGAACACCAGTACATTAAAGATAATGAATTCCATTGTCAGTGTGATATTTTCGCTGTCTTAGGGGTTGTCTGGTGTAGATCAAACATCGACCTCAGATAAAGAGGCTAGAAAATTCTCCTGTTGCGATATGATCTGGATGATGGCCATCTGCTGTTTGTTTTGTTGTGTGAAACCAGAATGAGATCTAAATTTGGAATTGGGAGAGTTTATAATAGTGTATTTTTTACTTACTGCTTGCATATAAAATGGAATGGTATGCATGAACAATAAGAAGTTTCTCTCTTTTTTTTTTTTAATATTACTATTGTAATTATCCAAAAAAAGGTTTATCTGAGTTGGCCTCCAGTATTCACACTTGGTTTTAGTTTAATGGATACTGTATATCATCAACATTTATACATTTCTTTCAGAACTTTAGAATGATGTTTGATGCTACATGTTGGTTATATGTTGATAGTGCTATAACATTTCTCTGGAATACACAAAGTAGGTACAGACTTGTGTAGAAAGAAGAAATGCCGAATCATTCTAATCCTAACACGACCCATCATGTTATTATTAGATCTTGACATTTATATGGGCCTATTTATTACTGAGTGGTGGAGAGTGTAGATATAAATGTACATAAGTAATGTCATTGCTATTTAATTATTTTGAAGTCTACTGTGATCACACTGATGACTGTACATGAGAGAGAAGTAAGTTGGACTCAGATCTATGAAAAACTATTTTACACACAGATTTCTCTAGTGTAGAACTGCTCTTTATCATCGTCTGTTTACTAAGAAAGGAAAAAAAATTAAAATGATATCTCAAATGGGTGAAGAGTTTATACGCTGGATTAGAGAAACTGGTGTTTGAAGGTTAACGGCAGATATTGTGTTCATACGCGTTCTGCTGAGGTGAGTTGTAGGTGTTTTGAAATTGTTGGCATTGTGGCACTTTTATATATGCAGTATAGTTTTTAAAAATTCTGAATTAAAAAAAAAAAAAGTAAAAAAAAAAAGTACATATATATAAAGGAGATATCAAGGAAGGAAATAAAAGAGTTAATAGATCTTCCAGCATTTGGATTTGAGTACCAAGGTAATGAATGTCTTTCCTTAGGGAGGCAGTGGGGTTGGTTGCCTCAAAATGCACTGAGGAAATTTCAATGTCTGTTGTGGTAGGTGAGACCTTTTTTTATGCGGTTGAATTTTTTTTATTATTTTCTATTATTTGTGTCCATGTTGATATGCCATGTAGACTATGCTGGTTCCTCAAGGTGATGCGACGGCTTAGGGAGAACTAAGCTCTCGTGCTCAGAGGAGTGGCAGCCTGGCAGGGCGGAGGGTACGTTCTGGCAGTTTAGAGCTACTGAGTATTAATGCACAATAACTGTATAAGAGTTAAATACTTTGAACTATGCAAGCTATAAAACACTTTCTAAGACAATTTGCTTTACCAAATTTTATATATATATATATATATATATATATATATATATATATATATATATATATATATATATATATATATATATATATATATATAAAAACATATATGTGTATATGTATATGTATATGTACATGTGTATATATATATATATATATATATATATATATATATATATATATATATATATATATATATATATATATATATATATATATATATAACCCTACACTGATGGAGCCAGAATTCACTGTGTGGCACTCATTCTGGCGACTACAGCATCTGTCTAGCCTTTTCCCTGGGGCTTTAGTTGTATACAGCCGGGCCTGCCTGCTTGCCTCGTCAGAGCGAGTCATGATGCTTATAGCCGTACTTGTCATCATGATGAGTAGGTTTTCCGTAATGGTTATAGGCGTGCCTGGCAGTATGAGGATGGATATATATATATATATATATATATATATATATATATATATATATATATATATATATATATATATATATATATATATATATATATATATATGCACATGAAATCTGTATGTAAGTAAAAAATTTCCGGATTTGGTTCATCTCACCTCTGCTAGGCTGACCTCATAAATAGAATGACATCTGACCTTTAGGGTGCTTGACGTCCTGCCTTTACTTGGCTGGTTTATATCACTCCAGCTTGCAGTGTAAGTGATCAATTTCTGGCAACATTTGCATCCAGTAGATTTAAGTTCGCAGTTAGACTCACGAAGACCAGAGAGGCTGGAGATGTTACTCTTCCTGGGTCTGTGGTTAAATATCCTGCATTGAACAAAATAAGAAAAAAAAAAATTGAAATGTTGAACTGTAAAAGCAACAACATATTCCTGTAGGTTAGAAATGGATGATTGAGCTTTTTGGTACTGCAAGCCTAATGTATAACAAGGGCCTTTGACAGGTACCTTGAAAGTAGATGGTGAATTCTTGCAAAAGTCAAGTCTTGTGGATGAGAGGTTGGGATGCTTCCTGTGTATTTAGTGTGACCCTTTGTCCAGAGAGACATGGACAGTTTTATAAATAAATAATTAAGGATAACTAGAAAAGAAGCGAGTGTTCAGTTCAGAAACTCTTTTGATACCCACACCGGTCAGGGTGATTGTGATAACGTCTTGCAAATAGTTGGCTTGTATGTGTGGCCTGTGCATAGTGTTGTTAAAGAAATTTGTTAGGCTTGTGTGCTATCACTTGAGATTAGGTTGGTAGTAGGTTTGGCAGTTCAGAATTTTGGATATAGCCTGCTGTGCCTGACAATTACATGCATCTTCTACACCTGTGGATGGTCAGCTGATGAGCAGGCTTCCAGTCTTGTTATTTCCATTGTCTTCTGTATTTCCCCTTTTCTTTTCCGTGTTTTCTTCTTGCAATACAGAGTGCAGTTCCTGATTTAAGCTGATGAGGCTCGTGTCAAGACTAAATTTTTTTTTATATTGCTATATATCGTTTTATAATAGGTTGGTGTGTGATGCCTGTTGCAATTTTCAATATAACGGAGGATGTTTTTGCTGTACCACGGGGGGGGGGACAAAGGGTCCCGTTTCCCTTTGCATCAAACGGTTGTGCCTTTTTTGTGAGTGAGTAAATATGTGTGTGTAAATGTCATGTATGAATTATTTTAATAAATTTTTAGGGGAATGCATAGCAATACTAGATTCTACCAGCTGTTCCCATTTTGTTGAGAGTAAATTGACATAAGAACTGATAATGCACTTATTTAAGAAATGTATATTTGCTTATATGTTTTATTTTGAAATACTAGTAGCCTTGGCAATGAATTGACAGTGCATTTTTTTCCCTATTATATCAGATTCTTTCTTCCATTTGCTATGAACACTACTACAGTTATTATTGTTCTTATTGTTATCGTTATTATTATTATTATTATCATCACTATTATTATTATTATTATTATTATTGATATTGTTCTTAATGTTGTTGTTTTGTTATTATCATTATTATTATGATCATTATTATCATTATTATTATTATTTAGCACTGTTATTATTAATATTTTATTTTTAGTCTCATTATTAATGTAGCTGATTTTTTTTCTTCATAGATTTATGGTAGGCCTAATCATTCACATGCATTTCCAGAATAGGCTGTAGAAATCACCAATTTACCCTTGTGCTTTTCCTTCAATTTTAATGCTGCAAATTAGTAGACTGCGGTTGTATTTACTAAGCTGCAGGAACTATATCATCATGGATATTTTATCAAATTCTCTGGGCAGGCAGTCTTTCCAAGATGTACTTTGAAGTTTATTTGAGAGCCTGTGCTAGAGATAAGAAAAATGAATCCTTTGTAGTTAAAAAGTTAATAAAAAGGGTTTAGCAAGTCGGATCATCAACAAGTCTTCATACAGTTCAATGTAGTGCATGTATTTCAACTTTGATACGAGACATTGCCGTTGGTGTCATGTTAGGCTGGAAGAAGGCTTGTGAAATTTACATCCAGTGCATGACATGAAATAAGTCTCTCGTAATTCTGCCCCAGGGTATTGCAGTTGCATGGCCTTTGTCATTAAGAGTCATGAAGAGGGCTTTTTCCTTTCTGTCATATTCTTTTCTTTCAATTAAATCCCTTGTTCTCTTCTTTTTTTTTTTTTTTTTTTTTTTTTTTTTTTTTTTTTGCCATAGCTTGAGAACTTGCAAGCCTGTTTCCTCCCCTTCTTTTTTGTCTTCAAGTTTAGGCCTACTTTGTTGTTTGAGTTTTTTTTTTTTTTTTTGCTAAGAGTCACAATGTCGCAATTTTACGAGAGAAGCTTACATGTCAGCTGAGAGTTATTGTCACTAATTTTATGTATGAGCTATCTTTCTTAGACCACAACATAAGGTCAGGTCACTGCAGTGCTGTGTAACTCTACCTTATTATTATTATTTTTTTTTTTTACTCATGATCACTAAATTCTTGATGCTTTCAGTTTGAAATTCACATTACTTCAGTGTATGACAAATTTATAAGAGAGATTTCAAGCTTCTATTTTTCTCCTCCCCCCACACACTCTCTCCCCTGCCAGCCGAGGGTTTAACAGCACTGGAATCCCAACCGCGGATCAGTTTTGCCAAAATTCACCCCTTTCTGTACTCGCTTTGGTTAGATGTCATAGGATGTTTTCACAAGAACATAATGTTGTTATAAGTAGCACAAAGTGACGAGCATTCAGAAGACTTACCTGACTGGAAGAAGAAGAGAAAGAAAGAAAGAAAGAAAAAAAAAACGAGCACAAATGATAATGCATTGTTCAGTTTTCCTAGTAAAAAAGATGGTGATGATGATGGTGGTGGTTGTGATGATGATGGTGATGCAATAGTGATTTTAGTTCTGAATATTATTAGCAGTGTTGATGGTGTGTCATTTTTGTTTGTTTATTATCATCTTTTCCTTTTCTTATGTAATGTATTTATCGTTATTGCTGTTGTGATTTTCATTGGCTTCTCTGTTTTATTACTGTTGTTTTTGTTTGGTTATTTATATATTTATTTATTTATTTATATACTTATTTATTCGTAATTATTACTGATATTTTTTTTTTACTTGCTCTTTCTGCTGTGAATATTTTAACTTTCTTACAATGAATGAACACACACACACACACACACACACACACACACACACACACACACACACAC